GCAGAGACCTGGGGGCTGAGCATTGCTGGTGGTGACAACCGGGTTCAAAGGCTTGGGGCAGGAGCTGCAGGGGTCTGAGCAGCTGAACAAGGCTGGGGGGTGGTGTGGGATGAGGTGGGCAGGGGTCAAACCAAGGGGATTGCCTGACCTGTGGTGAGAGTTGGGATTTTAACTCTGCAAGCCATGGGAAGCCCTTGGAGGTGGAGGGTGTTCTGTCTGTGGGTGTGGCAAGCGGGGCATGGGGGAGAGATGGGGCGGCTTGGGGGTGCGGAGGTGAAGACAGGGCGAAGCTACGAGATGCAGCCCAGGTGGAGCTGACGGACTGGCTTATGGAAGGAGGTGGTAGAAAATGCCATTTGAATGAAGCCTCATCATCCTTCTGTGCCCACTCGCGGGACCCTGCCTCTCTCTCTTCTCAGCATCATGGCAGAACAGGATGTGGAAAATGATCTTTTGGATTACGATGAAGAGGAAGAGCCCCAGGCTCCTCAAGAGAGCACACCAGCTCCCCCTAAGAAAGACATCAAGGGATCCTACGTTTCCATCCACAGCTCTGGCTTCCGGGACTTTCTGCTGAAGCCGGAGCTCCTGCGGGCCATCGTGGACTGTGGCTTTGAGCATCCGTCTGAGGGTACGCCTTCTGGGTGTCATCCTCTTGCCCAGGTCCTCACCAAGACAAGACCAGCCCTACCCGCCCAGAGCGGTGCTGCCTCCAGTGTGCTGTGGGTGAGGGAGGGGCCTGCCCACCCCTTGGATCAGTTGTACCCAGCGGGGCCTATGGCTGCTCTCAGCACCGGGGTGCTCTGCTTTGACCAGGCGGATACCCTAGCCCTGCAGGTGTCTATGGCCTTGTCCGGACTTGGCCTCTTCTGATTGCCCTCACTGTGGGCCCCCCGGTCACCTGGTGAGCAGCCTGCACGGGGGTGTGTCCAGGTTCTCGTCCCTCACGCTCTGCTTCTCCTGCAGTCCAGCACGAGTGCATTCCCCAGGCCATCCTGGGCATGGACGTCCTGTGCCAAGCCAAGTCCGGGATGGGAAAGACGGCGGTCTTCGTGCTGGCCACCCTACAGCAGATTGAGCCTGTTAACGGACAGGTGGGTGGGCTCCTCCCTTCCCAGCCCCACCCTACCTGTGGCGGCCGAAGTAGAGTAGGCTGGATGAGGTGGCTCACGCCTGTTAGCCCATCGCTTTGGGAAACTGAGGCTGGAGGATCGCTTGAGGCCAGGAAGTCGAGGCTGCAGTGTGCTATGATCCTACCACTGCACTCCAGCCTGGGTGACAGAGGGAGACTCTATCTCAAAAAATAGAGTAATCAGTTATAACAAAAATCAGAAATTGCCAATAAGCCAAAATAACTGGAAAGTGCCCACAGTTTGCCCCTTGCCCCAGAGGCATTGCTGTTGTTTTGCTGTGCCACCTACCTAGAGAGTGTCCATCTATGAAGGTTGGGTTGCCCCGAATACAGCTGTCACTGCTGTCCTTGCTGTTAGGCCCTGGCTGTCTTCTCCCTTTATCTTGTGTGCCACTGTCTTGGGGAGACACTTCAGTGAATTCTGGTGTCTTGCTCTTGAGTCAGGTCGGGTGCACATCTTTGGGCCTCATATTGGTGCCCGTGTCAGGTCGGGTGCACATCTTTGGGCCTCATATTGGTGCCCGTGCACTCGTTATCTGAGAGCACATCCTGAGGGATGAAGGTGCCGTGGAGAGCTGTGGTGTGGGTGGCATGGGTGGGAAGGCCGGGGCTGGGGCTGCCTGAGTGCTGAGATTCAGGAAATCCTTAAAGAGCTGGGTCCCACGTCACCCGGGCAGGCCAGGTCTAACCATTATGCAGGCCATTTTCTGTTTCTCGTTGCGGGTCCTGGTGTTGGGAGACAGGTTTCAGTAGCTGTGGGAGAGTATAGGGAGTGAGGGTTGGAGAAGGGCCGTGAGAAGGGGGAGGCATTTGGACCGGGTCTTCAAATGGCCTATGATGTTGGGTGCAGTGTGTTGGGGGGACTGGGTTGGGTAGACTCTGGTGGGGGAGGGGTTTAGGATACTACCTGAAGGCCCTTTTCTCGTGCCACTTCCCAGGTGACGGTCCTGGTCATGTGCCACACGAGGGAGCTGGCCTTCCAGATCAGCAAGGAGTATGAGCGCTTCTCCAAGTACATGCCCAGCGTCAAGGTGAGCCCCTCAGGTTGGACTTGGTCAGGCGCCGCTTGGTTTCTGCAGCTTTGTTAGCCTCGGCTCTGGCCCAGCCAACATTTACCAAGCTTGGCAGGGGCAGCTGCCTTTGAGGTTTGCGGTGGTTTTTGCTCCTTAAAAGCCTGATGAATTATGCATGGCTCCCAGGGGCCTGTGCAGGTCCCAGCCTGGGGCTTCCTTTGAGTGGAGCCCTGGGAGGCCCTCAGGCCTGCCTTGGTCCCCTGAGGCCTCCTGTTCACAGGTGCTGGGGTTGGGTATTAGGTGCCCTCAGGGCTGCTGGGGCTGAGCTAGTTGGGGCCTTGGGCCGGGTATCAGCATGGAGCAGCTTCCTCCTCCTCCCCGTAGGTGTCTGTGTTCTTCGGGGGTCTCTCCATCAAGAAGGATGAAGAAGTGTTGAAGAAGAACTGTCCCCATGTCGTGGTGGGGACCCCAGGCCGCATCCTGGCGCTCGTGCGGAACAGGAGCTTCAGCCTAAAGAATGTGAAGCACTTTGTGCTGGACGAGTGTGACAAGATGCTGGAGCAGCTGGGTGAGTCATCTGCCCTTGCAGCCTCAGCTGGAGAGTCAGCGACTAGGCGGGCCCCATAGCAGGCAGAAGACTCTTGAGTGGGTCACATGGGTGGCTGGCAGGCGGGGCTCCTGTGGTGATCTTAGGGAAAGCTCTGCTGCTGGCAGAGGGACGTGCTGTTTCTGAGCCCGAGCCGAATGGGACCACGGGACCCAAATAAGCCCCCGTCCCTCCTGGACGTAAAGGCACGCGCACATACCTCTAGGAGTGTGAGACTTCTGCCACCTGTTGGGTTGGTTCTAGGCCCCACCTGCCCTCAGGGAGCCTCGACAGGGCCGGTGGGAGATGGGCTTGTGTCCTGGGAGGCAGCTGCAGCTCTCACCCCAGCGGCTGTCTCTGCCTCAGGCTCCCCTCCCTGAAGCGTGTCTCGAGGCGCACGGGCACGGCTGCTCCGCGCCAGCGCGTAAGTGGATTGCAGCTCCTCCCGCGCCTGCGCTCGCTGGCCACCCCCCAGCCCCTCAGGCACCAGGACTGGCCACTCCCGCGGCTCACTCTGCCCTCGTCACGGTGCCACTGGCTCCCTGGCACAGGTTGGGAGGGGTCTGGGTCTGGTCTGGGGTGGGGGTCCTGCATGGCAGATGCTCATGCCCACGCATGTCTTGCCCTCCCCACCCAGACATGCGGCGGGACGTGCAGGAGATCTTCCGCCTGACACCACACGAGAAGCAGTGCATGATGTTCAGCGCCACCCTGAGCAAGGACATCCGGCCTGTGTGCAGGAAGTTCATGCAGGATGTGAGTAAGGCGAGAGTGGCAGCTTCGGCCTTCCCCAGGGGCCTGGAGCCTGGGGCCCCAGGACACCCGCACAGCCCACATGCCTCGGAGGATGCTGGGATGCTGGGAGCCGGCGGAGCCTCCTTTCCTCCCCTCGGTCTTGTCAAACTGGGAGTCAAGCTTGGTCCACACCTGAGCCGGGCCAGAGCTTACATCCAGGTTTTGAGTGATGTTTACTGAGGTCCGGTGCAGGAGGCCCTCTGGGAAGCGTCGCACAAAGGAGTCGCCCACTGGAAGGTTCTGGGCAGGCGAGATGCCCAGAGGTGATCCCTGCCCGCCCCTCCCACCTCCCTCCCCACACAGCCCATGGAGGTGTTTGTGGACGACGAGACCAAGCTCACGCTGCACGGCCTGCAGCAGTACTACGTCAAACTCAAAGACAGTGAGAAGAACCGCAAGCTCTTTGATCTCCTGGACGTGCTGGAGTTTAACCAGGTGACACTTCCATCAGCCCGTCCTGGGGCTCTGGACCATCGGGAGGTCGCTGGGCCGCCAGACTGTGTGGCCCTGACCGCCACTCCTTCCTTCAGGTGATAATCTTCGTCAAGTCAGTGCAGCGCTGTATGGCCCTGGCCCAGCTCCTCGTGGAGCAGAACTTCCCAGCCATCGCCATCCACCGGGGCATGGCCCAGGAGGAGCGGTGAGTGCGAGCCACCCGCCAAGGCTGCAGGGAGCGCCACCCAGGAGCCCAGTGTCTGACGGCCTCCACTTGTTTCTCCTGCACCCCAGCCTGTCACGCTATCAGCAGTTCAAGGATTTCCAGCGGCGGATCCTGGTGGCCACCAATCTGTTTGGCCGGGGGATGGACATCGAGCGAGTCAACATCGTCTTTAACTACGACATGCCTGAGGACTCGGACACCTACTTGCACCGGGTGAGCGGCCTCACGGGCATGTCGCTTTCCCCTGGTGGTGGGGTGGGGCGCCAACCCTGCTTTTCCTCAAGTCCTGAGGTGGTATCTGTGGCCTGATCCTGATCCTGTCTGTCTGCAGGTGGCCCGGGCGGGTCGCTTTGGCACCAAAGGCCTAGCCATCACTTTTGTGTCTGACGAGAATGATGCCAAAATCCTCAATGACGTCCAGGACCGGTTTGAAGTTAATGTGGCAGAACTTCCAGAGGAAATCGACATATCCACATACAGTAAGTGCCTTGGGCAGGGCAGGGGGCTGAGGCAGAGGGTTCCTACCTCGGCCCTTCGGTTCACCACTTCCTGTGTCTTACAGTTGAGCAGAGCCGGTAACCACCACGTGCCCCGCCAGTCCAGAGCCGCCCACCCGGAGCTGCCCACCTGGAGCCGCCCGCATGCAGCTTCACCTCCCCTTTCCAGGTGCCACTGTTGAGAAGCTAGAAATTGTGTGAGAATAAACTTGTTATTACGGAAACCTGGCTCCCACACCATCTGTTTCTTAGTCATCTCGGCCTTTGACGGACACCCTGGGTCTGGCGTCTGAATCACCACCAGCAGGCAAGGCCATCTTCTGTATGCATGTGTTTAATTTTAAGTGTCAACATTGAAAAGTTTGAACAGATAAAAACACATTACACAACATCCACAACCTTCACAACAGTGAGAACCTCCTGCCTGGGCAGGCAGGGCAGGCCTCTGTACCGTGAGCCTCAGGCAGTGGCCCCAAGGGGCTCTGCCATGGGGCCTCTGACATCAGTCTTCGCTTAAGAAGGAAGCTGAGCCCCAGCACCTAGTCTCTTCAGTTCTGCAGCAGACGTGAGAGGAAAAAGTCCAGGCCAGGACGAGCCCACAGTCTGTCCTGAGTACTAGCCCCAGGTGCCAAGGCAACACGCTGCAGCCCTGGGCTAGCCCCTGTACTTGCCCTGGGTCATCAGGTGGAGGAGAGAGGCAGCCAGCAGTAGGACCAGTGGCTCCGGCTCCACCCCACTGGGTGTCCTGGGCTTTGGTGCCAGACTATAGCTGCCACTCCCTCCTGGTGGCACACACGGGGCTTAGGGAGGGAGGGTGGAGGGAGCAGAGCAGTGGACGAAGGGAGGATGGATGGTCTTCGTGTACAAAGCTGCTGCGGCCACAGGAGCTGCTGGACCGTCCAGAACCATGTGCTTTCATATGCCAGACTCTGACGCCCGGAGGGCCTGGAGAGGAGAGCCCAGTGAGGCCTGAGCCCTGCCAGCCCTGGCGCCTTCCTGCCCACGCACCCGCCCCAGGCACAGCCCCTTACCCGGGTCTGATTGTGGCCAGTGCCAGACGTGGTAGAGGTGAATTCTGAGTACTTGCTCCCGCTGGCAACTAGGCAGGCCCACTTCCGGTATTCTTCCCGAACCTGCTGGCCCAGATAACCCGGTCAGGGCAGGAGCAGGCCCTGGGACCGTGCATGCTCCTCCCCATGCTCTGCCCTTAGCCCCACCTTGGTGTTTTTGTGGTTTTTTTTTTTTTTTTGAGATCGGTTCCCCCTGTCGCCTGGGCTGGAGTGCAGTGGCACTATCATAGTTGACTGCAACCTTTAACTCCTGGGTCCAAGTGATCCTCTTGCCCCAGCCTCCTGAGAAGCTGAGGTTATGGGTATTCACCACCACACCCGGCTATCTTTTTTTTTTGAGATGAGTCTCACTGTCACCCAGGCTGGAGTGCAATGGTGCCATCTTGGCCCACTGCAACTGCCGCCTCCCAGTTCAAGTGATTCTCCTGCCTCAGCCTCCCAAGTAGCTGGGACTACAGGCATGTGCCACCGTGCCCCGCTAATTTTTGTATTTTTAGTAGAGACGGGGTTTCACCATGTTGGCCAAGGCTGGTCTTAAACTCCTGACCTCAGATGATCTGCCCACCTCCGCCTCCCAAAGTGTTGGGATTACCGGCGTGAGCCGCCTCGTCTGGCCTCACCCTGGCTATCTTTGAATTTTTTTGTAAAGACAGCGTCTGGTTATGTTGCCCAGGCTGGTCTCGAACTTCTGGACTCAAGCAATCCTCCCCCCTCCGCCTCCCAAGTAGGTGGGAGGATAACAGGTGTGTGCCACTGTGGCCAGGCCCCCACCTTCTTGTTGAGCAGGCAGTGCAGCAGGTAGAGGAAGGCGCCCTGCAGGCAGTTGAGGATGGTGAACACATAGGTCAGCACCAAGCTCCGATCGTCGAAGATGAACAGTCCAAAGACCCAGGTGCAGCCCAACAGGAAGAGTTGCGCGATGGCTGTGATGGTCAGCGCCCTGCAGGGAGGGGGGGTTGCAGCGTGGGCCCCCATATCACCTCCAGCTTCATTCCCCTCACCCCGGCCCCGCCTCCAAGTCGTCCCAGCTCCTCCTCTCACCTCGCCTTCTTTAATTTCTTCATGTCTGGATTGATTTCAGAAAACTTCTGAGTGAGCTTCCAGACAGTGGTCACGAAAATGACAGCATTGCACTGGGCAGGGAGCAGATTGTGGGTTAGAGGGCGAGAGCGATGGTCCAGGCGGGCCTGGGCCCATGACGCTTGGGCTTTGGTGGAGGGGGAGTGGGCACTTACCAAAATGATAAAGGTCACCGGCCCCAGGAAGCTCCAGAGGAAGCCCTGCTCCAAGTCCAGCCAGCAGCTGGGAGGTAAGGGAGGGGTCCCATCAGTGCCCCAGGAAGCCAGAAGCAGAACCGAGGGCAGCTGGACATCATCGTGCGTGGCACTGCTTGTGAGCCCCGGGCCTAGCTCCCCGCCCTCCCCCTGCCCCACCTCGTTGCACTCACTATCTGGGGCGGCCGTAGCCCTTGCTGTAGACGGCAGCCGAGACGCCCACGATGAGCAGGGGCACGCCATAGCCGATCAGGCAGAGCCAGCGCGTACTCAGGCCCTGGCCCTGAAACACGCGCACCACAAGGAAGTAGAGCTCCAGGCCCTCGAGGCTCATCCAGCAGAAGGCGGCCAGAAAGCAGTAGTGCAGCAGCCCGGCCACCAGGCGGCAGCGCAGCCCCACCTGCGGGGCGGGAACGGAGGGGCGGGGCGACGTCAGCGCGGGGCGGGGCATGCGGCGCCAGGGCCCGAGAGTGGGCGGGACCACAGCCGAAGGGTGGGCGGGTCTGGAGCCGGGCCAGGCTCCCCTCCAGGGCCCATCCCCAGCAACGCTCATAGAAGCGAGCTGGGACTCGGGGCATGGCCAGGCGGCTCCAAGGCCAGCGCCCTTTAAAGAGACAACCCGACCCCCGGTGGGCGGGGCCAGATCCCGGGCAGGGGGGGGCCTCATGCCTCCAGGGCCCGCCTACCCGACCGAGCCCCGGGAGTGGGCGGGGCTAACCCCTCCCAGGCCTCCCTGACCCCAGAGCTCAGGTGGGAGCCGGGCGGGACCTCACCTGGCCGCCTTCGTTCTCGATGCCGGCCAGGAAGATGGTGGAGCCCACGAAGAGGCAGATGCAGAGGTGCAGGTGTATGGTGGTGCGCGAGCCCTGGATGGGCCGCACCAGCAGAAAGGTGAGGATGCACAGCAGCAGGCAGAAGAGTGACAGCGCCAGTCCCACCCTGGTGATCAGGGTCAGCTTCCAGTCCTAGGAGTGACACCAGTGCTCAGGGTTCCTTCAGGACCTGAGGCCTTCCTGCCCTCTTTGTGGTCCTTTTTCCGCCAGCATTCTGACGGACCCACCTCTCTGACCTCCTCCCTTGTCCCTCCTAGATCTGGCCACACTTACCAGCTGGCAGGGGAGTCTAGGGATTTCACATTTTTGTGCTTGCTGGGCCTATGGCCTGGACCACAGGCGCCCCCTTTCTCTGCCTAATTGCAGTTTTCGACAAGGCCCGGCTTCACTATGGATCCTACTGAAGTCACATACAGAAAGTGGTGCTCCAGGCTGAGTGCGGTGGCTCACGCCTCTAATCCTAGCACTTTGAGAGGCTGAGGTGTGTGGATCACCTGAGGTCAGGAGTTCGAGACCAGCCTGCCCAACATGGTGAAACCCCCGCCTCTACTAAAAATACAAAAATCAGCTGGGCATGGTGGTGTGCACCTTTAATCCCAGCTACTTGGGAGGCTGAGGCAGGAGAATCGCTTGAACACGGGAGGCAGAGGTTGCAGTGAGCCAAGATCACACCACTGCACTCCAGCCTAGGTGATAGAGCAAGACTCTGTCTCAAAAAAAAAATAAAATAAAAAATAAAAACATTTTTAAAAGCCGGCACAGTGGCTCACACCTGTAATCCCAGCACTTAGGGAGGCCAAGGTGGGCGGATCACCTGAGGTCAGGAGTTCAAGACTAGCCCGGGCAACATGGTGAAACCCTGTCTGTATTAAAAATACAAACATTACTCAGGCATGGTGGTGCACGCCTGTAATCTCAGCTACTCAGGAGGCTAAGGCAGGAGAATCCCTTGAACCTCACTAGCTGAGACTGCGTCACTGCACTCCAGCCTGGGAGACAGAGTGAGACTCCGTCTGAAATAAAAAGGGCAGGTGGTGCTCCCTTGGAATGCTCTACACGGGGAGCTTTTACTTGACATCTCACAATTGGTACGGGACAGCTACTGGCTGCACCCGATGTATAGTTCCTGGGTTGTAGAGAAGAGGCCAAAGGAAGAGGATGCGAGGGGTGTGATGTGGGGACACCTGGGCTGTGCAACCATGCAGACTTATCTGAGCAACCAGCAGGGTTCCACGGAGAACTAGCTGCCTGTCTGGTTGCTGCTGGACCTTGTTACCTGTGGGCGCTTGAGGATGGCCCCAGCTGCTCACCTCCAGGTCATAATGAGCCATGAGGATCGCAAAGCTGCTCAGGTGGCTGCATTGGCAGGTGGTGCTGCCGTTCTTGCTACCCAGCACACGGCAGCCCTCGGTGGCCCAGTGCCCTCCCCTGTTGCTGTCACTCTTCCAGAAGGCACAGATCAGCTCCTGCCGTGGCCCAGGCATCACGTCCTGTGGGCAGATGGGGGTGGTCAGAGAGGTTGGCCTGGAGCTCACTCTTAGGTTCTGGGCTTGCGCTGAGCCCAACAGGGCTGCTTGTTCACTAGATGAGTATTGACTGAGCGCCTACTGAATGTAACAGTTTGGAGACACAGCAGTGAACACCGCAGACACAAGCACCTACCCTTGTGAGGTTGACATAAGAGTGGGAGAGGTGGCCGGGCACAGTGGCTCATGCCTGTAATCCCAGCACTTTGGGAGGCCGAGGCGGGCGGATCACCTGAGGTCAGGAGTTTGAGACCAGCCTGGCCAACATGGCAAAACCCCGTCTCTTACTAAAAAATACAAAAATTAGCTGCGCGTGGTGGCAAGCACCTGTAATCCCAGCTACTCGGGAGTCCCAGGCAGGAGAATCGCTTGAACCTGGGAGGTAGAGTTTGCGGTGAGCCGAGATTGAGCAACTGCACTCCAGCCTGGGTGGCAAGAGTGAAACTCCATTTCACACACAAAAAAAGTGGGAGAGGCAGATTATGTCATAAACCTAATGAATAAGTAACATACATAGTACATTAGAAGGTGGCCAGGCGTGGTGGCTCTCGCCTGTAAGTAATTCCAGCACTTTGGAAGGCCAAGGTGAGAGGATTGCTTGAGGCCAGGAGTTTGAGACCAGCTTTGGCAACATAGCGAGTCCTCCATCTCCATTAAAAAAAATTTTTTTTTTAATTAACTGGGCATAGTAGTGCACGCTTAGAGTCCCAGCTACTCAGGAGGCTGAGGCGGGAGGATCACTGGAGCCCAGGAATTCTAGACCATCCTGGGAAACATAGTGAGATCCCTGTTTCTATCAAAAATAAAAAAGTGGCCGGGCGCGGTGGCTCACGCCTGTAATCCCAGCACTTTGGGAGGCTGAGACGGGCGGATCACAAGGTCAGGAGATCGAGACCATCCTGGCTAACACGGTGAAGCCCCGTCTCTACTAAAAACATAAAAAACTAGCCGGGCGAGGTGGCAGGCGCCTATAGTCCCAGCTACTCGGGAGGCTGAGGCAGGAGAATGGCGTGAACCCGGGAGGCGGAGCTTGCAGTGAGCTGAGATCCAGCCACTGCACTCCAGCCTGGGCGACAGAGCGAGACTCTGTCTCAAAAAAAAAAAAAAAAAAAAAAAAAAAAATTAAATAAAATAAAAAAAGTTAACTGGAAGTGGTGGTGTATGCCTGTAGCCTCAGCTACTCAAAACTCTGAGAGGCCAGAGGAATGAGGTTGAGTAAAAATAAAAAAAATAAAAAAGTTAACTGGGAGTGGTGGTGTATGCCTGTAGCCTCAGCTACTCAAAACTCTGAGGCCAGAGGAATGGTTGAGTCCAGGAGTTCGAGGTTGCAGTGAGCTATAATCGCGCCACTGCACTCCAGCCTGGGCCACAGAGTGAGACCCTCCTGTCTAAAAATATAAATAAATAAGAAAAGAAAGGCCGGGCGTGGTGGCTCATGCCTGTAATCCTAGCACTTTGGGAGGCCGAGGCGGATGGATCAACTGAGGTCAGGAGTTCGAGACCAGCCTGACCAACATGGAGAAACCCCGTCTCTGCTAAAAATAAAAAATTAGCCAGGCGTGGTGGCGCATGCCTGTAATCCCAGCTACTCGGGAGGCTGAGGCAGGAGAATCGCTTGAACCCGGGAGTCAGGAATTGCAGCGAGCCAAGAACATGCCACTGCACTCCAGCCTGGATGACAAAGTGAGACTCTGTCTCAAAAATATAAAATAAAATAAAACAAAAAGTAAAATAAAATAAAGTAAATAAAATAAGTAAATAAGTAATGAGGTCAGGGAAGGCCCAAACAAGAAGACCGGAATCATAAAAAATGAAGTCACATGGGGAAAGAGCTTTCCAGGGAGGGGCCCAGCACATGCAAAAACCCTGGGTTATCTTTGAGGAAGGAGCAGAGTGAACAGAGACCTTGGCAGGAGGGTCTCTTCCCTCCTCCCCACTGGAGGACTCAAGGTGGGAGAAGGCGAACAGGATGGGGAAGTTGAGTTCCTTGGTGTTGTTGTGGCTCAGAAAGACGGAGTTGACGGCCGACAGGCGTCTGAGTCGGACACCGCGGATGTTGCTTTCATAGATCTCCTCCAGCTCAGCTTGCTTCTTGGAATGCAGCTTCAAGGAAGCATTGGCCAGCAATGTCGTCATGTTCTGGATGGAGAGGATGCCCGCCACGGCGGGGCCTGGGGAACAGACACGCTCGCTGCCTACTCCTATCGTCCTCCTCCCATGCTCTATCCTCCCTCCCAAGATGGCCCAACTCAGGCTCAGCCAGCCCACCACGATGACGCCAGGAGTCCCTCCCGATGAGTCAGTTTCTAGCTCTTCCTTTATTTATTTATTTTTGAGACGGAGTTTCGCTCTTTCGCCCAGGCTGGAGTGCAGTGACGCAATCTTAGCTCACTGCAACCTCCACTCCCCAGGTTCAAGCGATTCTTCTGCCTCAGCCTCCCGAGTAGCTGGGATGAAAGGCACCTGCCACCACACCCAGCCAATTTTTGTATTTTTAATAGAGACGGGGTTTCACCATTTTGGCCAGGCTGGTCTCGAACTCCTGACCTCGGGTGATCCACCTGCCTCAGCCTCCCAAAGTGCTAGGACTACAGGCATGAGCCACTGCGCCTGGCCTTTTTTTTTTTTTTTTTTAGACAGGGACTCACTATGTCGCCCAGGCTGGAGTGCTTTGGCGTGATCATAGCTCATAGCAGCCTTAACTTCCTGGGCTCAATTGATCCTCTCACTTCAGCCTCCTGAGTAATTGGGACTACAGGCACAGGCCACCACACTCAGCTAATTTTTGTATTTTTTGTAGAGACTAGGTTTCACCATGTTGCCCTGGTCTTGAACTTCTGAGCTCAAGCGATCTACCCACCTCTGCCTCCCAAAATGCTGGGATTGCAGGCATGCCCGGCTGAACCTCACCCTGGCCCCATCCCAGCTCCTCCATCTCTTTCCCACGGGCTCCCGTTCCAGACGGCCACTGCTACCTGGGTCCTTGGCTCCAGCTGCCACAGCCCAATTCAGCTTCATGCGTGCATTGCTCTGACCCATAGTGACGTTCTTGTTCCCCTGCTTCTGGATCATCAGGGTCAGCTCTGAGGGGAGAGGGGCAGTAGTGATTAGGGACCCCGGGTACCAGGTGGGACCCAGGGTTGGGGCAGGGCAGGTCAAGGTCTCACCTGTGTTCGAAGGGGAAAGGTAGGTGAAGGGGCCTTCAGGCAGGGTCTTGGCCAGGATCCTCAGGATATCTTCAAGGTTTGAGAGCAGCTGGGTGGCTATGAGGTGCCGGACAGGTGGGGCCAAGGCCTCTATGTCCCCAGGAGCTTCCATCAGTTCGTCCACCAATTTGATGAGGTTCTAGGGGGTGGCGGGTGACAGAATCGCTGGAGCATCGGACAACAGGGATTGCCTGAAGGACCTGGATCTCAGCCCCCCGCCCACCAGGGGACATCCTGGAGACCCACAGGCACAAGGGAATCACTGAGATCATGCAGTAACCAGAAAACAAGTGGCGGATTGAGTATATGCCTCCATGTATGTATGAATCACAGTGCTTAACACTGGTTGGGCACAGCCTGCCTGCCAGGCTCTGTTTTGATTTTCTGTTCTTTTTTTTTCTTTTTCTGAGACAAGGTCTCGGTCTGTCTCCCAGGCTGGAGTGCAGTGGCATAATCATAGCTCACTGCAACCTCCACCTCCCAGACTCAAGCGATCCTCCCACTTCAACTTTCTGAGTAGCTGGGACTACAGAAGCGTGCCACCACACCCGGCTAGTTTTTGTAATTTTTTTTTTTTTTTTTTTTTTGGAGATGGAGTTTCACTCCTGTCCCCCAGGCTGGAGTGTAATGGCACAATCTTGGATCACTGCAATCTCCGCCTCCTGGGTTCAAGCAATTCTCCTGCCTCAGCCTCCTGAGTAGCTGGGATTACAAGTGTCCACTACTATGCCCAGCTAATTTTTGTACTTTTAGTAGAGATGGGGTTTCACCATGTTGGCCAGGCTGGTCTCGAACTCCTGACCTCAGGTGATCTACCCACCTCTGCCTCCTAAAGTGCTGGAAGTACAGGCGTAAGCCACTGCACCCGGCAATTTTTGTACTGTTTTGTGGAGATGGATTTCACAATGTTGCCCAGGCTGGTCTCGAACTCCTGGGGTCAAGAGATCTGCCCACCTTGGCCTCCCAAAGTGTTGGAATTACAGGCGTGAGCCACCGCACTTAACCTTTTATTTTATTTTTGAAGACGGGCTCTTGCTATGTCACCCAGGCTGGAGTGCAGTGGGGCAATCCTAGCTCACTGCAGGCTCCCACTCCTGGGCTCAAGGAATCCTCCTGCCTCCCCAGTAGCTAGGATTACAGGTGGCCACTACCATCCCCGGGAGGGTCTGTTCTAACTCTGTCCGGCACTTTTAATGCATCTGAACCTGCTCTGGAGTGTAAAATACACAACAGATTTCAAAGACTTATTCTAAGAAAAAGAATACAAAATATCTCAGGGTTTAAAAAAATAATTCCCGGCCAGGCGTGGTGGCTCACGCCTGTAATCCCAGCACTTTGGGAGGCCAAGGCGGGCGGATCACCTGAGTTCGGGAGTTCGAGACCAACCTGACCAACATGGAGAAACCCCGTCTCTCCTAAAAATACAAAATTAGCCGGGCATTGTAGTGCATGCCTGTAATTCCATCTATTCAGGAGGCTGAGGCAGGACACTTGCTTGAATCGGGAGGCGGAGGTTTCGGTGAGGCGAGATCATGCCATTGCACTCCAGCCTGGGCAACAAGAGCGAAACTCTGTCTCAAAACAAAACAAAGCAAAACAAAAACAATAACTTTGATTGGGCGCGGTGGCTCACACCTGTAATCCCAGCACTTGGGGAGGCTGAGGCGGGCAGATCACGAGGTCAGGAGATCGAGACCATGCTGGCTAACATGGTGAAACCCCGTCTCTACTAAAAATACAAAAAAGTAGCCAGGCATGGTGGGCGGTGCCTGTAGTCCCAGCTACTTGGAAGGCTGAGGCGGGAGAACGGCAGGAACCTTGGAGGCGGAGCTTGTAGTGAGCCGAGATGGTGCCACTGCACTCCAACCTGGGCAACAGAGTGAAACTCCGTCTCAAAAACAAAACAAAACAGAACAAAACAAAAAATCATTCCACGTTAAAGTGGTTAACATGTTGGATCTATTGGGTTAAATGCAATCTTAACTTTATTTATTTATTTATCTGAGACTGAGTCTCACTCTGTCTCCCAGGTTGGAGTGCAGTGGCACGATCTTGGCTCATTTCAACCTCCGACTCCCGGGTTCAAGTGATTCTCCTGCCTCAGTCGCCCTAGTAGCTGGGACTACAGGTCCCTGCCACCAGGCCTGGCTAATTTTTTTGTTATTTTAGAGACGGGGTTTCACCATGTTGGCCAGGCTGGTCTTGAACTCCTGACCTCAGGTGATCTGCCCACCTCAGCCTCCCAAAGTACTGGGATTACAGACTTGAGCCACCATGCCTGGCCTGCAATCTTAACTTTAACTTAACTTTATTTTTACTTTATAAAGTGTAGTTATTGGACAACAGTCACGGTGGTGCACACCTGTACTTCCAGTACTTTCGGAGGTTGAGGTGGGAGGATCACTTGAATCCAAGAATTCAAGAACAGCTTGGGCAACATAGCAAGACCCTCATCTCTACAAAAAATGAAAAATTAGGCACAGTGGCTCACACCTGTAGTCTCAGCTCTTGATACTCGGGAGACTGAGGCGGGAGGATCGCTTGAGGCCAGGAGGTTGAGAATGAAGTGAGCTGTCATTGTGCCACTGCACTCCAGCCTGGGTGACAAAGCAAGACCGTATCTCTAAAATTAACTAACTAAATAAATAATCTGGCCACTGGAAAAGTTAAAATGATGTTAAGTGGCTCACATCATTTTTCTACGGTGCTAAACACATATGGGAAAACCTTTTTTTTTTTTTTTTTAAACAAAGTCTTACTCTTGTTGCCCTGACTGGAGTGCAGTGGCGCAATCTCGGCTCACTGCAACCTCCCCTCCCAGGTTTAAGCGACTCTCTTGCCTCAGCCTCCTGAGTAGCTGGGATTACAGGTACACACCACCACGCCCAGCTAATTTTTGTATTTTTGGTAGAGATGGGGTTTCGCCATGTTGGCCAGGCTGGTCTTAAACTCTTGACCTTTGGTGATCTGCCTGCCTCAGCCTCCCAAAGTGCTGGGATTACAGGCGGGAGCCACCGTGCTTGGCCGGGAAAGCCTTTCTATAAGGCTTATCATGTGTCAGGCACTGTTCTCTGAGTCTTACCACTATTAGTTTATTTACCCTTCACACTGACTATATGAAGGAGGCATTATTTTAATGCCTGTGTTGCAGATTAAGGCCACGCACAGTGGCTCACGCCTGTGATCCCAACACGTTGGGAGGCCAAGGCAGGAGGATCACTTAAGCCCAGGGATTTGAGACCAGCCTGGGCAACATAGCAAGACCCCTATCTATAAATATATTAAATAAATAAAATAATAAATAAATAAATTAGCCAGGCATGGTGGTGTGTGCCTTTGGTCCCAGCTACTTGGGAGGCTGAGGTGGGAGGATCACTTGAGCCAGGGAGATTGAGGCTGCAGTGAGCCATGATCGTGTCACAGCCCTCCAGAATGGGCAACAGAGCCAGACCTTGTCTCCAAAAAAAAACCACACACAAACAAAAACAAACAAAAACCACCACAACCCCAAAAACAGATGAGGAAACCGAGGCCCAAAGAGGGTGGCTCACTTGCCTGAGATCACATAGCAAGAAGTGGCAATGGGGGGATTTGAACTCCTGTGGCCCATCTCCAGGTTCTTAAGTGCTGCACTCTGTTGCCATTATACCTGGGGTGTGTGTGTGTGTGTGTGTGTGTGCGTGCGTCTTCACGTGTCCGGGTGTACATACGTTTGTGTACATACTGTATGTAGTGTGTGTATCTTATGCGCATGTACATTTCTGACCAGAGGCCCCGGCTTGGGTTGGGCACTCTCTCTGGCCACACGGAAGCCTCCCCCAGCTGATTCTACACTGTCCTAGGGTCCCCCAGCATCCTGCCCTTACCTGGATGGTGACATTGGCTGAGCTTGTCTTGAAGTCTCTGCCCAGGTCCTGGACTTTGTTGAAGAATTGGGAAAGCGTCTGCAGAGACAGATGTGGGGGTCAGAGAGCCTGGACGGTGGGTGGGAAGCTTAGGACAAGGAGACAGATGCGGTGCTGTGTGGATGGAGTTCCTGCCACCTCGTCCCTGTGGGGGCCACTCACCTGGCTGTGGACTCCAGGGGGCGGGGTCCAGGTGAGGAAATTCATCTCTGCAGGGAACAAGACAAGCGGCTCATTAGGCGGGAGAGTGTCTGTGTGTGTGTTGAGGGTTGGGGAGCTTCTAGGGTCAGGTCGTACCTTCACACACAGTGTCCTTTTGGTTATTCGGGATTCCATGTTTGGGCTCCCAGCCTGGGCGGCAGCGGCAGGTGTACGAACCCACGGTGTTAAAGCAGATGGTGGAATTGTCACACTGATGCAGACCGGAGCTGCACTCGTCCACATCTGAGGACAGGAAGAAGGGAGTCAGGCCCTGTCTGAGCCCAGAGAAGGTCCTGTCTCCTGTCTGTGCCCCCAGCTCGTTCTTCCTGGCATTAGTGCCCCCCTTGGAGTGGCGGACACTGGGTTATGGAAGCGTGGAGAGGCCTGGGCACAGCAGGTGTGCCCCGTGCAGATGTGCAGTTACGAATATGGTGAAACGTGTTCCTCCCAGTGAGTCATCAGCTGTTGCCTGGGGTCCCCCTGAGCCTCCCCCCTCAGTACCCCAGCTCCTTCCCGGGGAGCCCTGCTCTTTTCTCTTCTAGCCTCAGAAGAACGAGCGCCTGGCACAGCCGGGCGCCTCCAGCGTTCATTCCGCTTGGTTTGTGGGGTGCCGTTGAACATGTGGTTAGATGTTTGTGGGTCTCTGGGAACGTGGGATCTGAGCTCTCGACCTTCACAGACGGTATTGTTTGGACCATTGGGGGACCCCGGAATCGGTTGCCAGCCCGGGCGGCAGCGGCACTGATAGCTGCCCACGTTGTTGAGGCAGTGGGTGGAGCTGTGGCATGGGTTTTGTCCGGAGGTGCATTCATTCACATCTGAGGACAAAGCCAGAGGGTCAAACCCTGTCCCTGACCAGCCCAGCCCTGCCCTCCACTCACTGCACCCACTTCCCTGTCTTTTCATTGCCCCGGACTGAAGACCATTACTGCACGTGTCGCCACCTGGTGACCTTCAGCTTCACCTTCAAAGCATCTTATAATGGTCTTCCTACCAGAAGGGTACAGCAGGGACCATGGTCCCCAGTTTATAGGAGGTGAAAGCAAAAGGGAAACTGGGTCATGGGAGCCAGACTTCCATGACTAAAAACTAAAACCTCTCATCTGCTCCCTCCCTGGTCATGGTGGAGGTTCCCCTTCTCAAAACTGGAAGTGACACCTTCTTCCACTCACACGTGACAGACGAGGAAGGGGTGAGGTCTGGGGGCCCACAAGGGCACTCTGAGCCCCAGAGGCCCTGCCGCCTCCCTGCTGTGGCGGGACCTTCCTAGGAGGTGAATCCTTAGGCAGGGGCTTAGCAGGTCCTTGACCTTGTGGGAACCTGCGGATCTTCTCCCTCCTCCTCGGCTGCTTTGCAGGACCTGCCTCGGCTCCATCCCCAGCTCCCGTCCAGCCTCACAGCATCTTCCCGGGGCCTCTACCTGTGCAGAGCTTCGGGTCCTCAGGTTTGAACTTGAAGCCAGGCAGACACTGGCAGGTGTAGCCGCCGACGGTGTTGACGCAGGTGCCGTAGCTTTTACAGAGCCTTGGGTTCCGCTGACATTCGTCCACGTCTGCAAGAGGAAGGAGAGGGTAAAGGATGCCCACAGCTGTGAGCAGCTTTCGGGGCTGAGGGTCCGCCACGTTTTCCGGCACGGAAGCATCTGGAAGGCACCACTGTCTCCTCCCTTTTCCAATCCACACAGAGGCATCCTATGGTGAGGGTGGTGGCCCAGGCCCTCTGTTGTCCAGATGTGGCCAGAAGCAGCCAAGTCCTCCTTCTGCTCTGCCTTTCTGGGCAGCTCCAAGCGGGTATGTCACAGCCATCTGTGTCCCAGCCTGAGGATTCTGGGCAAAGGCCAGGGTGGGGCCTTCCTGAGAACCAAATGCAAGGGACATGCCGTGCGCCTGGGCAGGACGCATCTTGGCTCCCAACGGTGGCCCTGGGCCTGACTCCCCAGGATGGCAGCTCGCTGGCCAAATACTCAGAATCCTGGTGGCCCTGGCAGGACGGCGCTGTCCCATCCACACTAACTCTGAGAGCCCAGCTTCATGGGCATGGGCCAAGACCCCTCCCTGAGCCAGGGCCCCCATGATGCAGTGCAATGGCAGGGGTGGGGTGAGTAAGCGATGGTGTGGGACAGGCTAGGGCTGCCTGGACAGTGGACACCAGGCTGGGGTGGACAGTGGGGGCTGCTGTCCAGCCAGGCAGCCCTGAGTCTACAAAGATGCTTTTTTTCTGATCCCCAGGAAGGGATCTATGGGTATGGAAATAGCAGGATGTGGGGAGAATCCATATCTGAGCAGAGCTGGCCGTGAGCAGGGGCTTGTGGCTGGAGAGGGCACCGGTGCCGATGGGTGAGGGGTGGCAGATGTATCTGTCCTCTCATCCCTTGTCATTCCACCAGGGACAGAGACCTGTGGGCCCTGCTGAATGGGGTTCAAGCTTCCATCTCTGTCCCCAAGTGGTCCAAACCAGGACTGGGCTCGGAAGAGGATCAGGCCTGGGGCGATGGTCCCCAGTGACACTCTCTCTTGCCATCTAGTCCAGGCTGGAGCCGCTTCCTTCATCCAATCCTCTGAGTGTTTCTGTTTTTGTGGTTTTTTTTTTGTGAGGCAGCGTCTCTCTCTGTCGCCCAGGCTGGAGTGCAGTGATGTGATCTCAGCTCACTGCAACCTCCGCCTCACGGGTTCAAGCAATTCCCCTGCCTCCGCCTCCCGAGTAGCTGGGATTACAGGTGTGCACCACTACACCCAGCTAATTTTTCTATTTTTAGTAGAGACAGGGTTGCACCATGTTGGTCAGGCTGCTCTCGAACTCCCGACCTCAAGTGATCCTTCCACCTTAGCCTCCCAAAGTGCTGGGATTCCAGGCATGAGTCACGGCGCCCGGCCCTCTGAATCCATTTATGGGGTTCATGTCACCCTGCCCACCCCTGGCCACAGCATCCTCCCAAGCTTTGGTCACTGGAGATGCGTTTAGGGCCAGGAATTATCAGAGTGGGTGAGGGTGGAGCCTTGAATGGGGAAATGGATGAGGGCTAAATGGCCAGGAAGACGGTCAGGAGGCATCTTCTCCAAGCAAGGTTGTTGGCTGAGATTCCCTCCTCCTGAGTTTCTGGACAAGGTTTTGGGGTTCATTATGGTAGGAGTGGGTGTCAGAGGGGTTCCAGGTGTGGCTGAGCTCATGTGAGCCCCAGTGGCGGCAAGTCTCATCCTGGCAGTCCCCGGCGATGGCAGAAAGGATGGATACTGTACTGGAATGCGCCATCCCACGCCATGTCATGAGTCCATGAAATATCCTGAGTGCCAGCCCCCTTTTGTTTTATGCAAATAAGATGCCAGATGGGCAGGGGGATGTTCTGAGCTTCCGATGTGGCCCCCTGTGGAGGCTCCTGAGTCTCAGGCTTGGGACAAAGATGGGTGATCAGGTGTCTAGGATGGCCCTGAGACGCCTGGAGACAGTGGGGTGAGGAGTGGAGGGAGCCACCCCAGGTCTCTGGCCCAGATGTCAGAGGTCCCATGGGCTGTGACATTGGGTGCACGTGTCCTCAGGTGCAATAGTGAAGCCTGGAGTGCCGAGGGATAAAGGGAAGGACTCAGGCCCCTCTGAGCTTCTCGTCTCTGGTGACAGGTCCTGCTCCAAACCAGCAGGCTGCTGTCTCCATCACCTGCCTTGATGTCCGTGGAGGTCCCTCTATCACCTCAGCCCTGCTGTCCACGTCTCTGCCCAGCTGCCTGGCTGAGTCCCCTTCTCTCAGCCCAGGCCTGTTTCTAACACAGCAACACACCTCCTCCATAACCACAACCACCATCCCAAGCAGGGGGCTCATAGCAGCGGGTGGGCAGCACCCCTAGCCGGGGCACCCTGGGAGGAAACCATGATCGTCAAGTACAGTTGTGCAGGTTGCTCACTGCACAAAGGTATTGGGCCAGTGAGATGAGCAGGGGCTGAAAACCAGTCCACTCTTTGTTTGTCAAATGTGTCCACTGGGAGAGGGGGATCTTTTTCCAATTCACATGAAGACTCTGTCCTCTGGCCAAGTCACATGCATGTGGGGCAACACGAAGTCCACTTGCAAGGGCCCCTGGGGACTAGCCGTGTGGTGGACAGAAGTCTCCTGCTGGGCTCCATGCAGGTTCACGTCCCAGGTACATGCGTCTCTGTCTTGTCCCCCACCTTACCTCCCTCTTCGTCCCTCTGCACTCTGCCTGAATGCAGAGCAGGAGAGGTGGAGCTGGGATCTGGGCTGCGGGCCCTTTCTTCTCTCTGCAGTCTGAGTCTCATCACCTCCCACCTCTGTGCCACTCCTCTTCCTGATCTTGGTACCCTGCACTAACTCCCTCTCTTTGAATGAGTCGCTCTCAGCTGCCCACTGCTGGCTCCCATCTGTCCCTGTGGATCCCAGAAGCCCCTCCCCTGCCCAAACAGCTTCCCTGAAAAAGAGGCAAAGCCTGGAGTTCCAGTTTCTCCTGGCCTGAGCTATGGCCTCAAGCAAGACCATAGCAAAAGCTGTGGCCTCTGTGCAGGGTTAGAGCCTTGCAGCTGCTCTCTGATCTCGCACGCTACAGTACCCATCCTGGGGGTGCATCAGATCAGAATTACAATAAAATCCCCAATAGCCATTGCTGATAGAGTACATCTGCAAGCCAGGAGCTTTTAAGTGCTTTTTTTTTTTTTTTTTCTTTTCAGACGGAGTCTCACTCTGTTGCCCAGGCTGGAGCGCAGTGGCAAAATATCGGCTCACTGCAACCTCCGCTCCTGGGTTCACGCCATTCTCTTGACTCAGCCTCCCGAGTAGCTGGGACTACAGGCGCCCGCCACCACGCCCGGCTAATGTTTTGTATTTTTAGTAGAAACGGGGTTTCACTGTGTTAGCCAGGATGGTCTCAATCTCCTGACCTCATGATCCACCCGCCTCGGCCTCCCAAAGTGCTGGGATTACAGGCGCGAGCCACCGCGCCCAGTCTTCTTTTTTTTTGAAATGGAGTTTCGCTCTGTCACCTAAGCTGGAGTGCAGTGCTGTGACCTCCACTCACTGCAACCTCTGCTTCTCAGGATCAAGCGATTCTCATGCCTCAGCCTCCTGAGTAGCTGGGACTACAGGCGCAGGCCACTATGCCTGGCTAATTAATTTTTTTTTTTTTTTTTGGTATTTTTTGTAGAGATAGGATTTCACCTGCTTGCCCATGCTGGTCTGGAACCCCTGGGCTCAAACAATCTACCTGCCTTGGTCTCCCCTTTTATAGGGGTGGGGTCTTGTTATGTTGCTATGGGCTGGTCTTGAACTCCTGGCCTCAAGAGATCCTTCCGCCTCAGCCTCCCAAAGCGCTGCAATTACAAGCATGATAATGTTATCACATCTCACATGTGGACAGAAGTTCCTGAATAAGTATCCTGGCCAATGTCATACACTTGGTTTTCAGGATTTGTCCCAGGCAGCTGGTCCCAGAGTCAGCCCTTAATCCTCACATCATTCTGCCTCTCTGGGGTGGTGGGGTAGGTACATGCACACCTGTCCCATCTCAGACCCCAGGCGCTGACCCTATAACCAAGGCCCTGCTCTCTGGATGCTGCCAGAATGGCTCTGGTGACCCCAAATCTCATGGATGGAGAGTCAGAGGACGTGGGGTGGTTCTTACCTTGACACGTGTTCTCGCTCTCATTCTTGAATGTTTTTGCCCCAGAAACAAGCTCATATCCCGGGTTGCACACGCAGTCGTAGCTCCCCTCTATGTTCCTGCAGTCCGAGAATTTTCCGCAAGACACTTTCGACGGTGGCGCACACTCATTGATGTCTGGAACACAACAGGACAGGGAGTCACCTCCCAAAGATGTGAGTTCCGTCAGGGCAGAGACCCCCATCCTGACTCCCCAACATGGGGCCTGCTGCTTAGTATCTTTTGGAAAGAATCCTAAGTTGCAGTGCACAGGCTGTGCTGCAGCTGGAGCAAGCCATTCCTGAAGACCACACTTGATCTCAGTTCTCTGGCTGGCATCCTAGATTTGGACACAATGAACAGAGCTGAGGTGGGGGATGAACAGGAAGCTCCACATCCCCATCCCCAGTCTTTTTGTAGAAATTTAAACCCCATGGTGGCCGGGTGCAGTGGCTCACGCCTATAATCCCAGTACTTTGGGAGGCTGAGGTGGGTGGATCCCCTGAGGTCAGGAGTTCGAGACCAGCCTGGCCAACATGGCGAAACCCTGTCTCTACTAAAAATACAAAATTAGCCGGGCATGATGGTGCATGCCTGTAATCCCAGCTACTCAGGAGGCTGAGCCAGGAGAATCGCTTGAACCTAGGAGGTGGAGGTTGCAGTGAGCCAAGATCGGATTACTGCACTCCAGCCTGGGAGACAGACTGAGACTCTGTCTCACAAAAAAAAAAAAAGGGGGCAGGAAAAACTCATAGCCAGAATGTACCCCTCCCCAGTCTTAAGGGTAAACTGAGGCACAGGCTCCAGATTCCTGAGCACCCAGCTTCTCTCTCCCCGGGAAGCCATGCCTAGTCACTTCTTACTTCTCCCCCTTCATATTTTTCCCTTATTTTCCCCTTCATTCCTCCCTCCCTCCCTTTCTTTCCCTCCCTCCCTCCCTCTCTCTCTTTTTCTTTTCTTCTCTTTTTTTTTTTTTTTTTTTTTTTTTTTTTTTTTTTTTTGAGACAGAGTTTCGTTCTTGTTGCCCAGGCTAGAGCACGATAGCGCGATCTTGGCTCACCGCAACTTCTGCCTCTCGGGTTCAAGCGATTCTCCTGCCTCAGCCCCCGGAGTAGTTGGGATTACAAGCATGAGCCCATGTGCCACCATGCCTGGCTAATTTTGTATTTTTAGTAGAGACGAGGTTTCTCCATGTTGGTCAGGCTGGTCTCAAACTCCCGACCTTCCCAACCTCAGGTGATCCACCCGCCTTGGCCTCCCAAAGTACTGGGATTATAGGCATGAGCCACCCCGCCGGGCCTATCTCCCTCCCTCCCTTCCTTCCTTCCTGCCTGCCTGCCTGCCTCCTTTCCTCTCCCTTCTCCTCCCCGTACCCCTCCCCCTTCCCCTCTCCCTCTTCCTCATCCTCTCCCTCTCCCTCCCCTTTCCTTTCCCTGAGACAGGATCTCACTCTGTTGCCCAGGCTAGAGTGCAGTGGTGCAATCATAGCTCACTGTAGCCTCAAACCCTTGGGCTCAAACAATCCTCCCACCTCAGTCTTCTAAGTAGCTGGGACTCCAGATGTGTGCCACCATGCCCAGTTATTTTGTGTATTTTTCATAGAGACAGGGTCTCGCCATGTTGCCCAGGCTGGTCTCAAACTCCTGACCTCAAACGTTCTGCCCGCCTCAGCCTCCCAAAGTGCTGGGATTACAGGTGTGAGCCACCACGCCTGCCCTCTTTGTCTTTTCTCTGTCCATGATGATAGTCTGGAAGGTGAGGCTGTGGCCCCTAACAACAACCTCTGTCCCCACTGGCACCGGGCAAAGCCTCATAATCTCAGATGTACCCTGTGCTGCCCTCAAGCCTCTGTACCGTCACAAATCTCCGTGGGGGAGGTGAAGATCTCAGATGAAGAGTTGAACCCTGGATTGCAGCGACAGGCGGTGGCGCTGACACACGAGGAGTTCTCAGGGCACCACCGGGCACAGTCTGCAAGAGCAGGGAGCACGGTCAGAAGGTGAGGGGCAAGGGGACACACAAAAAGGGGGCACTGAGGGAGATGGGGCAGGGCGCTGAGTTTCCCGTGCACGAGGCCTCTCTTTCCCTGGGCTGAAGGGGGCTGGGCGGGGGTCCAGGGCCCTCCCCAGACTCTGGCTGTGGACTGTGCTTTCTGCTTCCCAGCAGACTCACCCCTGGAGTCCTGGGTTTCGGCTCCCAGCAGAGTCAGCCAGACACAGAATGCTGCAACAGAGAAAGGAAAGGGGGTCAGAGGGAATCCCAGGGTGGGAAAGGAGGCGTAAGGGGGATGCATTTTGGGGGAGGAGGATGCTGACCCCTCTCAGGCTGAGATCCTGCCCGTCGTTCAAACAGAGTGGGCAGATGTCACGTCCCACTCGGATGCTCAAAGCCAAAGAGTCTGTCACCCTGTCCCCATAGGGGCTGTTTTTTTTTTTTATTATTGTTTTTGTTTTTGACACAGGGTCTCACTTGGTCACCTAGGCTGGGGTGCAGTGGTGCAATCATAGCTCACTGCAGCCTCCAATTCCTAGGCTCAAGCAATCCTCCTGCCTCAGCCTCCCAAGTAGCTGGGACCACAGGTGTGCACTAAAAAAAAATTTTTTTTTTTTTGAGACAGAATCTTGCTCTGTTGCCCAGGCTGAAGTGCAATAGCACGATCTTGGCTCACTGCAATCTCTACCTCCTGCGTTCAAGTGATTCTCCTGCCTCAGCCTCCCAAGTAGCTGGGATTACAGGCGCCCTCCACCACACCTGGCCAATTTTTTGTATTTTTAGTAGTGACAGGGTTTCACCATATTGGCCAGGCTGGTTTCACCGTATTGGCCAGGCTGCCTGCCTCAGCCTCTCAAAGTGCTGGGATTACAGGCATGAGCCACATTTCCTGACTCAAAAATTTTAAAATAATTTATCATACCAGGTCAAAAAATTAAAAATACTTTTTTTTTTTTTTTTTGAGACGGAGTCTCACTGTCACCCAGGCTGGAGTGCAGTGGCATGACCTCGGCTCACTGCAAACTCCGCCTCCCGGGTTCATGCCATTCTCCTGCCTCAGTCTCCCGAGTAGTTGGGACTACAGGCGCCCACCCCCTCGCCCAGCTAGTTTTTTGTATTTTTTAGTAGAGACGGGGTTTCGCCGCATTAGCCAGGATGGTCTCTATCTCCTGACCTCGTGATCTGCCTGCCTCGGCCTCTCAAAGTGCTGGCATAAGCCACCGCGCCCAGCCTGCCATCTTCATTTCCTTAGGTAAAAATGAAGACGTGGTCGGACATGGTAGCTCAGGCCTGTAATCCCAGCACTTTGGGAGGCTGAGGCAGGCGGATCACTTGAGGTCGGGAGATCAAGACCAGCCTGCCCAATATGGTGAAACCGCCTCTCTACTAAAAATACAAAAAATTAGCTGGGCATGGTGGCAAGTGCCTGTTATCCCAGCTACTTGGAAGACCGAGGCATGAGAACCACTTGAACCCGGGAGGGAGAGGTTGCAGTGAGCCGAGATCATGCCACTGCACTCCAGCCTGTGTGACAGAGCAAGACTCTGTCTCAGAAAAAAAAAAAAAAAAAAAAAAAAAAATGACGGTGTTGGATCCCCCAGGCTCTAAGATGCCCTGGACCTCCACGCTTCCTCGAGGGACACAGGTACATACACACCACACCCACAACCGCCACCAGCCCTGGCGGTCTGTCCTGGGACCCAGTGGTGATATTTCACACCCTAGGTGCCCCTCCCACAGGAAGACACTGTGGCCGCCTGTTGGGGTGCACATGGAGTGGCGGTTCCCAGCGCTCAGGGGGTTCCCCCTCCCAAGCCATGTCCTGGGGGACTCTCCTCAGATCACCAGGGGATTCAGAGATGGGGACCTAGGGATCTCCTTGCTGTTCACCAGAGAGATAGAGTCAAAGAAGCAGGGGTGGAGAGAAAATAGAGATTAGAGAGAGAGAGAGAGACAGGAAGAGAGAGAGACAGAGGGAGAGAGAGAGAAAGAGACAGAGAGACAGAGAGCGAGAAAGAGTCAGAAAGAGAGACACAGAGAGAAAGAGACACAGAGAGAGAGAGAGAGACAGAAAGAGAGAGAGAGAGAGAGAGAGAGGGAGGGCTGTGCACGGTGGTTCACGCCTGTAATCCCAGCACCTTGGGAGGCTGAGGCGGATGGATCACTTGAGGTCAGGAGTGTGAGACCAGCCTGGCCAATAGAGATATTGAAACCCCATCTCTACTAAAAATACAAAAAATTAGCCGGGCGTGGTGGCACGCACCTGTAATGCCAGCTACTGTGGAGTTGGAGGCAGGAGAATCGCTTGAACACAGAAGGCAGAGGTTGCAGTGAGCTGAGATCCTGCCACTGCATGCCAGCCTGGGCAACAGAGCGAGACTCTCAACAAAAAAAAAAAAAAAAAAAAAGAAAAGAAAAAAGAGAGAGAGACAGAGAGACAGAAGGACAGAGATGAGAAAGGAGACAGAACTGGAGAAAGAGAGAGGGGGAGACAGAGAGGAGAAAGAAGACAGCTAGAGAAAGAGAAGACAGAGAAGGAGACAGAGACACGGAGAGATGGAGATAGAGACACGGAGAGATGGAGAGATACAGAAATTACATGGCGAAAGAGAGAGGTGGAGAAACAAGGGGCCCATAGAAAGCAGGAGAGGAAACAGGAGGAAATGGGACAGAGAGAGAAACAGCGAGGAAGAGAGAAAATCATGAGAAAGGAGGGTGGATGGAAACAGAAGGGAAGGGCGGGGGAAGGGAGGGCATTGGGATCTGAGCAGCAGGTGGGGCCTGGGGCGGGCTGGGGGGGGATGTCCAGTCCCTGCTGATCTGGGAATCCTGGGGACCCCAATAATCCGGGAGACCTGAAGGGGGGTGTCGGGCAGAGGGATGGGGACCAGGACAACGGCTGGGCATGAGTCACTTCCTGGGCCTAAGGGAAGGAATGACTCATCACTCATTTGCCCCAATTCGACCCTGGAGGAGCTCCCAGTGGAATTCTGGGGTCTGTTGTTGTGAGCACAGCTTCAGAGGGCGGGTATTTGGGGTGCAGATTGGAGGTCCCCTGACCACTCAGCCCCTGTGTTCAAATTTCGTACCCCTTAGGTGGGTGGAAGGCAGAGATCCCCACTCCCACCTCCACACTTCTTCCAGCTGGGTTAAACCCCGCTGCCCAAGCCCATGCTCCCCGCTTCTGTCAGGATTCTCCTCTTCCTCCTCTCTGGCCACAGGGCTTGGCTAGTTCCTCCCTCGGCCAGAACCCAGTTCCTCTTTGCAGAACAGACCACAAAATGACCTCCCCTGGCAGGACAGGATCTAGGCAGATTCATCTCCAACTCCCAAAGCCCCAGGTAACTCCTTTAAAGCTCAAAACCACTCTAGGAGGCAGGGGCTGTGTTGATGCCCATTCTACAGATAGAGAAACTGAGGCTTGGAGCCCAGAAAAGGATCAGGAAGAATCCAATGAACAGAAGAGGCTGGGGAAGGAGGAATTGAGGGATTGAGGTTCCCAGGGCCCTGGGCAGGGTTCCTTTGTGCCCCAGCCCCTCTGCATGGGCTGGGTTCTCTACTCCCACCGTGAGGCTACAGGGCCTGGCTGCCTCCATCTGGGGCCTTGGAAGTTGCCCAAACAGAAGCTGGGAGAGAAGCTGCTGTTCTGGTTTGAGTTTCATCTGGTTTGCATTCTCTGGGCTGAGCCCTAAGCAGTCAGTTTCCTGCATAGAGACCCTGGGGTGGGGGGCGGGGCAGTCACTCCTTCTTTAGGCTTCCTCCTAAGGACCCCCAGACAATTCCCCAGACCTACCAGCGTCTTACCAGAATTTAATAATCATCATAATTTATTATTTATTTCATTTATTTTGAGACATGGTCTCACTGTCGCCTAGTCTGGAGTGTAGTGGCGTGATCTCGGCTCACTGCAACCTCCACCTCCCAGGTTCAAGTGACTCTCCAGCCTCAGCCTCCCGACTGGCTGGGATTATAGGTGCCTGCCACGATGCCCAGGTAATGTTTGTATTTTTAGTAAAGACAGAGTTTCACCATGTTGGCCAGGCTGGTCTTGAACTCCTGACCTCTGGTGATCTGCTGGCCTGAGCCTCCCAAAGTGCTGGGATTACAGGTGTGAGCCACTGCACCCGGCCTTATTATTTATTTATTTATTTATTTTTTGAGATAGGCTCTTGCTCTGTCACCCAGGCTGGAGTGCAGTGGTGCAAACATAGCTCACTGCAGCCTCAACCTCCTGGGCTCAAGGGGTCTGGGTCCTCCCACCTCAGCCTCCTGAGCCACTAGGGCTCACTAGGACAGGCACATGCCACCAAGCCCGACTAATTAAAAAACATTTTTTTGGCCGGGCGCGGTGGCTCACGCTTGTAATCCCAGCACTTTGGGAGGCCGAGGCGGGCGGATCACAAGGTCAGGAGATCGAGACCACGGTGAAACCCCATCTCTACTAAAAATACAAAAAAAATTAGCTGGGCGTGGTGGCGGGCGCCTGTAGTCCCAGCTACTCGGGAGGCTGAGGCAGGAGAATGGCGAGAACCCGGGAGGCGGAGCTTGCAGTGAGCCGAGATCGCGCCACTGCACTCCAGCCTGGGCAACAGAGCGAGACTCCGTCTCAAAAAAAAAAAAAAAAACAAAACAAAAAAAAAAAAAAAAAAAACATTTTTGGCTGGGCATGGTGGCTCATGCCTGCCTCCCAGCCTTTGGGAGGCCAAGGCGGAGTGCATCACACTGAGTCAGGAGTTTGAGACCAAAAAAAAAAAAAAACATTTTTTTTGGCTGGGCATGGTGGCTCATGCCTGTACTCCCAGCACTTTGGGAGGCCAAGGCGGGTGCATCACCTGAGGTCAGGAGTTTGAGACCAGCCTGGCCAACATGGTGAAACCCCGTTTCTACTAAAAATACAAAAACAAACAACAACAACAAAAAAACAACTAGCCGGGCATGGTGGCAGGTGCCTATAATCCCAGCTACTTGGGGTAGGGGCGCGAGGCAGGAGACCCGCTCAAACCCGGGAGGCGGAGGTTGGCAGTGAGCGGAGATTGCACCATTGCACTTCAGCCTGGGCGACAAGAGCAAGACTTTGTCTCAAAAAAAAAAAAAAAAAAATTTTTTTTTTGGTAGAGGCAACATCTCAATATGTTGCCCAGCCTGGTCTCCAACCCCTGGGCTCAACAGATCCATCTACCTCAGCCTCTCAAAGTGCTGGGATTGCAGGTGTGAGCCACCGTGCCCAGCCAACACTTTTAAAATGCTATTTACCTAATTCTTACTGTGAACCAGGAATAGTTTGTGTCCTAACTCACTCAACCCTTAAAACAATCTAAGATGGAGACGGGTTGTGCTCCATTTTATAGATGAGAAAAGTGAGGCGTAGAGGCACTCTGACTTGGCCCCGGTGACACAGACAACCAGGGCGTGGAACCACTGGGAAGCCAGGTCTTAGCAGCTGCCCCCACCAGGTGTGCCCCCAAGAACCCCAAGGTGGGCTTTTGTCTCTCGCTTTCGAGCCCAGGGCGCAGTGCTGAGCTGACACCTGCCACCTGGGGCTGGCCCAGGGAAGCTGTGTCCCTGTGGTCCGGGAAGTTCTGGGTTTTGCCCCAAATGTCATTTCTTCACTCTCTTTGTTGCTCTGTTGCTTAGGCAACGAGTTACCCTGATAACCGTTACAGTCACCTTGGGTGGGGCGGGAAAGGGAGTCCCCGGGAAGTCACAACAAAAATCAAATTCAAACCCACAGCCAGCCAAAGTTCCTTTGATCCACAGCTGAGCCCCAGCCAGGTCTGCGGGGAGCAAGAACTGGGGACTCTGGGGCTGCCCCTGCTGCTGAGACTGCGAGGGACAAATTGGGGGTCCCCTGCAGTGAAGAAGTCCTGGTCTCTAGCTTCCCCACCCCCGCCCATGTCCGTCTATGCGTTACATTAAGCACGGCGGCTCTCAGGGTCCCAGCACTCACTTTTTGACCCTTTCCTTCCCCCGTGCCTCAGTTTCCCCTCCTTAGGGAGCAGATGCCAAATTGGTTCCAGTAGAAAGCTTGAGGATACCTCCGGCAGAGTAGCAGGCTCCAAGAGCACCCTGGAGTTCCTCCCGAGGTGCGGGGGTGTCCAAGCACAACCAGCCCTTCTCCCCATGTGCCGAGAGTGCCTGCTTGACAATGTGGCTTCCTCCATCGCAGGCCCCACAGCCACCAGGGGCGCCTCCCGTTTCTCAGACGCAGCCAACGGTACCGCTGGAGCTTCCTCGCCCCTCCCAGCGGGGCCCCGAAGTACTTACCGAGAAAGACGCGGCCTCCCATGGTTCGAGCTGCCGGCAGGAGCGGTAGGGGAAAGAGTGAGTGGGACAGGTCTGTCCTGTCTCCCTAGGCTGGGCAGCTCTGCGGGCTGCCCCGTCTCAGGCTGGGTAGCTGTGCGGACTGTCCCGAGGCCAGGACTTTATGAAGGAGGTGGGGACTGACAGCCGCTGGCCCAGGGCCCTCCCCGGAACTGGCGGTGCAGCTGGAAACCAGCAGGAAAGTACAATAAAAACACAGACCCAGGGGCGCTGCAAACACACACACACACACACACACACACACACGCGTGCACTCCCTCAGCAAGAATGAAGTGCAACCTGCTTTCAAAACCCTCTGCTGGAGTTTCCACCATGTGGCTCTGACGAACCCTCTGGCCTCTGTTCGGGCTGGCTGCTCTGGACGGGAAGGTGTGGCAGCCGGGTGGGGCAGCAGGCCCCAAGCCTGGGGCCACTTGGCTCTTCCCTGGGCAGGCGCAAAGGGGCCTTTTCAGAAATAGCTCTGGGCGCCCACGCTGGTGGGGCTCGCCCTGTGCCCAGAGCTTTGGCATGCCAGAGTTGGCAGAGCCAGTGTCTCAGCTGGCAGAACCTTCCCCTGCCATTTTCCAGATGAGGAAACAGGCCAGGTGCAGAGGCTCACACCTGTGATCCCAGCACTCTGGGAGGCCGAGGCAGGAGGATCACTTGAGCTCAGGAGTTTGAGACCAGCCTGGGCAACATGGCGAAACTCTGTTTCTAAAAAAAAAAAAAAAAAAAAAAAAAAAAATTATTCAGGCTGGTGGCAGACATCTGTGGTCCCAGCTACTACTACTCAGGAGGCTGCGGCAGGGAGGATCACCCGAGCTGGGGAGTTTGAGCTATGATGGTGCCAGCTTGGGTGACAGAGTGAGATCCTGTGTCAAAAACAAAAAGACAGAAAGAAAACTGAGGCATTACAGTGTCCACACAGGAGACCAGGAAGGAAGAAGGGGCCCCCTTCCGATGCCAGGCAGGTGCCAAGAAGAGAAGCTTCACTACGCGGAGCAGACCCCCCTGATCTTTCTGGTCTTTCTAAGTCAGTTTCCCCCTGTGGGAAACTTTTATTTCAGAGGCCCCTGGGCACTTCGTTAATCAACAGAGAATCATGTGATAGGAGGGTTCTTTCCTTTTTGGATAAATCACATGATTAGCTTGTCTCTTGAGCTACCTAATACTTTTTTTAAATGTTATTTTTTGGCTGGGTGCAGTGGCTCACGCCTGTAATCCCAGCATTCTGGGAGGCTAAGGTGGGCGGATCACCTGAGGTCAGGAGTTCGAGACCAGCCTGACCAACATGGAGAAACTCCGTCTCTATTAAAAATACAAAATTAGCTGGGTGTGGTGGTGCATGCCTGTAATCCCAGCTACTCAGGAGGCTGAGGCAGGAGGATTGATAGAACCCAGGAGGCGGAGGTTGTGGTGAGCCGAGATCGTGCCCTTGCACTCCAGCCTGGGCAACAAGAGCGAAAATATCTAAAAACAAACAAACGCTATATATTTTTTAGGAGATCTTACTCTGTCACCTAGACTGGAGTGCAGTGGGACTATCACAGCTCACTGCAGCCTCAAACTCCAGGGCTCAAAGGATCCTCCTGCCTCAGCCTCCTGAGGAGCTGGGACTACAGCTATGCACCATCATGCCTGGCTAGTTTTTTCTTAAGTTTTTTTTTTTTTTTTTTTTTTTTTTTTTTTTTAGATGAGGTCTCGCTATGCTGCCAAGAAAATGCTATTATTTACAGAGCACTTAGTCTGCACTAGGCCTGGTCATAAGTTTTGTTGTTGTTGTTATTTTTAAATCTATTTTAACTCATTTACTCCTCAAAACATCTGCAATGATGTCATTCCCATTTGACAGAGGAGGAAACTGAGGCACAAATGACTGACCCAGCTGAGAAGATCCACAGGCGGGCAGCGCAGCCCCGGAGTCCCTGCGATGCGCCCAGGAGAGAGTCTCTATGGGCGCTAACACGTCTTTGCGCCTCCGCGGCCCTGAGGCTTAGCAGGCGTCTGTGTCCAGCCAGAATTCAAGGACTCGGTTTTCTGTTCCTTATATTCATATTTATTTTTAGGTTTCCCTACTATTTGGGGCAATGAGGAGGGATTTTCAATGAGGATGCCGAAATCAAGTCTCCTTGTTACACGAATAAATTCAAGATGCAGAAGTGATGAATGCTAAGGAAAATATAGTTCAATTGTTCAAAGGGGGAGATTGCAGCAATGGGGGAAAAAAAGTCACTAATGACTGGGGAGTAACCAAACATCCCCAGTCCTAGAATTTACCCCTTCCTGTCCTGGACTCCTGTGGGGGTGGCCACGGGCTGTGAGGGAGGGGAATGAACATCAGCAGAAGCTGGAAGGAGAGAGGCCAGACCAGCTCTGGAGGGATTTTGCCTTTTTTTACTCAGAAAGCCAGAAACTCCAGCTAGAACCCCAGGGCTCAACGTTCCTTCTCTGCAGATCAGACGGGTAGGTCAGACAGCTGGCGTCTGCAGAATCTCAGGGAGGCAGGAGGTGCTTCCCGATGCCCGGGGTTGTCCCTACACCCCTTCATAGAGATCATCGACATTATTTTATTTTATTTTATTGTACTTTATGTTAGACACAGAGTCTGCTGTTGCCCAGGCTGGAGTGCAATGGCACAATCATAGCTCACTCCAGCCTCAAACTGCTGGGCTCCAGCGATCCTCCCACCTCAGCCTCCCGAGTAGCTGGGATTACAGTTGAGCACAACCAGGTCCTCATTTTTAAGTTTTTATTTATTTTTATTATTATTATTTTTTGAAACAGAGTCTCGCTCTGTAGCCCAGGCTGGAGTGCAGTGGCACGATCTTGGCTCACTGCAGCCTCCGCCTTCCAGCTTCAAGCGATTCTCCTGCCTCAGCCTCCCAAGTAGCTGGGGTTACAGGCATGTACCACCATGCCTGGATAGTTTTTTGTATTTTTAGTAGAGACGGAGTTTCATCATGTTGGCCAGGCTGGTCTCGAACTCCTGACCTCAAATGATCCACGCGCCTCAGCCTCCCAAAGCGCTGGGATTACAGGCGTGAGTCACCATGCCCTGAGGCTTTCTTGAGTCTCTCCGGTACTTCTCACTCTCTCCCTTCTTCCCTTGCAACCATCTGCCCTTGAGCCGCATTAGGCTGTCAGCCCCCTGAGTGACTTTTGTCTTGTTCTCTGCAGAGCACGAGCACAGACCCTGTACTGAGTGGAGCCCCATATGGTAAACCATGCAAATTAGTACTCCTGCCACTCCACTGCCGCCCAGCTAAGGGAAGCCTCCTTCAGCCTTGCTGATCCGGTCCCTGCCGGAGTGTCTGCCTATGTTTCTCCACTTTCTCTTTGTCCTGAAGTCTCAGTCCGGCTGACTTATTTTGCAGCTTCTGGACAACCTCAAAAATTGTTCTGCAATGATGGGGGATGGGAACATGGTCCTCATCTGTCAAAAGGGGAACTGGCACCTGGGGGTTTTGGGCCACTGGCCCCAGGTTGCTCAGCTCAGAAGTAACCCAAGATTACCTGTAATCCCAGCTGCTTGGGCGGGCGAGGCAGGAGAATTGCTTGAGCCCAGGAGACATAGATTGCAGTGAGCTGAGATCGTGAGATTGCGCCACTGCACTCCGGCCCGGGCAACAGAGCAAGACTCCGTCTAAAAAAAAAAAAGTAACCCAAGATTATCCAACCAATAATAATAATATAATAATAATTATATAATATAATTATAATAATTATATTAGTATAATTTTTTTTTTGAGACGGAGTTTCGCTCTTGTTGCCCAGGCTGGAGTCCAATGGTGCAATCTTGGCTCACCACAACCTCCACCTCCCGGGTTCAAGCAATTCTTCTGCCTCAGCCTCCTGAGTAAGCTGGGATTACAGGTGCCTGCCACCGTATTGGGCTAATTTTTTTTTTTTTGTATATTTAGTAGAGATGGGATTTCTCCATGTTGATCAGGCTGGTCTCGAACTCCCGACCTCAGGTGATCCGACTGCCTCGGCCTCCCAAATTGTTGGGATTACAGGCTTGAGCCACTGTGCCCGGCCTAATTTATTATTATTATTTTAGAGACAGGGCCCCTGTTGCCCAGGCTGGAACGCAGTGGCACAATTACGGCTTGAGGCAGCCTGCACCTCCTGGGCTCATGCCACCCTCCCGCCTCAGCCTCCCAAGTAGCTGGGACTACAGGCACATGCCGCCATGCCTGGCTAACTTTTTTTACTTTTTTTTTTGAGACGGAGTTTCGCTCTTGTTGCCCAGGCTGGAGTGCAGTGGCTCCATCTTGGCTCACTGCAACCTCCGCCTCCCGGGTTCAAGCGATTCTCCTGCCACAGCCTCCTGGGTAAGCTAGGATTACAGGCGCCTGCCACCGCACCAGGCTAATTTTTTTGTATTTTTAGTAGAGATGGGGTTTCACCATATTGGCCAGGCTGGTCTCAAACTCCTGACCTCAGGTGATGCAGCCTCGTCAGCCTCCCAAAGTGCTGGGATTACAGGCGTGAGCCACTACACCCGGAGCTCCCTTTTGGGTTGTGTGGTCTCAGGTAGGTGATGTGGCCTCTCTGGGCCTCAGTCTCCCCATCTGTGAAATGGTCAGAACTTCTCCAGGTGCCTGTGAGGACCAGACTGGAGGGAACGAATTGCAGAAGCGCAGCTGGGTGTGGACCCTCAGTAAACAACAGGGGGGGTGGTTAGGATGATCTCCGAGTGGGGTGAACTCTTTGCTGTCCTCTGCAATGGGGAGGGAGACCAAGAGACCCCCAACGCCCCACTCCCCAGCTTCTTATGCCGCCAGTTCATGCCCAGCACCCGCACAAGCCTGGGCTGAGGCGGGGGGTCAGATGGGGTCTCCGGGTGGAGGGGGGCATAACAGGATGCCCCCTGGCTGGGAGACAATGGCAGAGGAAGGGGCCGGGCAGCCCCCACGCGGATGAGCCCCGCAGCTGGCTCCAGGAGGGCGGCGCAGCTATTGTGAGACCAGACGGCTGTCCCTGCGCCAGGAAGCCCCAGAGAACGGGGGAGAGGGTGGGAAGCCGGCTGGCCAACCCTGGTCCCCGACCCGGGGCAGGTCCCACTACGGTCTCTTTGTCTCCTCCAGCAGGCTGAACACCTGGGTTCCCTGGAGCCTGGCCCGTCAGTGTGCACCTGGCTCAGGGGGCCCTCACTGCAGACCCCATCTGACCCCACTGACATCTCCCTAACTCCTTGCTCCCTACCCATCCCAGCCTGACCTGGGGATTTTGGAGGCTGCACTGATCTGTGCTGTATTTATAGTTCCCTGGTGTTGCTGAGCCAGCTTCTAAATATAGAAGTCCAGCTATTTGGGGCCTCGGCCCTGGAGCAGAGTGGGGAGGAGCCAGCCCTGCACATGTGTGCCTCCCCCCGCCCCCGCCCTGC